CCAATAACATGTTACATAACCACATAACGATAACTCACTAATCGCCTACCAACTTTCAACAATATTTTTATGACAAGAAGTACCTTTTCTTCAGTTATCTCTATGTTGTCATTATTTATTCCTTGTTGTTCTTTGCAAACARTCTGACTGTCCACTTCCTCCTGCTGTTCTCTAGTTTCTCCTSCCTCCGGTTTGCTTCGTTTGATTGGTGGAATTACTTGCTGATGTCCTAGCTGTTCTCTGACTTGACTAGAGACTTGCGCTCTCTTTGCRTGAAGTCTATTGAAATCCCTTCTGAACATTGTAGTCCTGTATGACCCCATGGTAGGCTTTGGACTTCCTCCAGTTGGGGGATGGGGGGTCAACTATACAATAAAATATGGCAATAAAAATGCATAAATAACTGAAAAACCATGTTATCTGACAAAGCATTAGCAGTGAGAGAATTTCTCTTGTCAAGTGGTTGCTAACTTTCACWGTGTTATACAGTGCTATGAACTCTCCRGGAAAATCTGGGAGTCTCAATCTTTTGGGATSTATCTCCCTGTACTGTATCACATTTTTTCAAGAAAATGGCAAGCTCTTATTTATATTCAGAAAAAATGTGATGCTTGATGGTCTTCCAGGCTGAGGRTRACAGCKCTGTTATATTAGAGTTTATAATTCAACATTGAAAATTTTCATCTGTGAAGGGATACTATCAGTAGATAGAGCCTGCCTCTTCAGAAAATATTGTTGTTGAATAATAAAAACAATAAAGCAGTTGAAACTTTGGATATTTTGCTGCGATGGGTGCCTTGGAAATTGGATGTTCTTCAGAACTTCATAMTCACCCTCAAGGTGCGTTCTCAGGWGACTATTTGTTWTTCGYAACATCCAGTTTATAAGGAAGGTCATTGGCCAATCAAAGTATGTGTTAAAACATACCAGMCCAAACTTTTCTAAGACATAAACCTCCAAAAAATGCATAAAAACAACATTGATTTTTATAATAGAAATCTTTAAAAACAAAATAAAATATATATAATAAATTCTAAACATGTCTTGGGTGGTTTAGCATAATTTAGCACTTTAATTCATATCTGACAGTTAAGAGCAATATCTGTCCTTATGATTGTAAACTTTTTCAAAAACTTTTTTATTGAATTAATAATGGTACTAAGTTTAATTACGATTAAATGTAAGTTAATAATTTATAATCTGAATTAAGTTAATAAGTTATTTATTGTACTGTAACGAAGAGCAATACAAATACAATACGTGCTCTATTCTTATATTATGCTATCAGCTTGACAAATGCTTTTTATTTCAGCACAAAAAAGTCGTATAAAATCTACTAAAATACAGTGAAAATATGAATATTGGGATTCAATAAGGCATGGTTGCCATAGTACTCAACGTAGCGTTCAGACTTACSTTTGCAGAAGSCAAGGGCCTCGAAATCGCTTTAAAAACATCTGAATTCTCAGGTTTGTCATACAACCGAGACTTCAAAATATCAATGACTTGTCTTCCTTTATCGTCCACCAAAGGTTTTCTGAAACTCGGAACATTCCTCTCTTGTTTCTGCTCGGTTTTATCAACCTTGATTTGGTAAAATTCATTTTTGCTGGAGGCACTTCGACAGTCTATCATAGAATTGTYCGGCACAAGAGGATTAAGTTCATCTCCGTCTGGATCCATAGCGTTCTGTTCACCCGTATTCCATGTTTAAGGTCGTTTCGGTGAATTTAGGAAYCCGTATCGAGCCTTTTCCAGCTCTTCTCGTACGGTTTGTGTTGACTTTTTGCCACCATGGATGAGCAACTCATTGACTATAGTACAACAACTGTGATTGGCTAGACAGTGTAATGGCGGTATTTATTTTCAAAAATGTTACGAGCGGTTTGATTGGACAAACGTTATTTTGTTGTTTCGATGCTTTTTGTCTCTGTTTCGTATGAAAAGCTGTTTATAGTCTATTTACGAATTTCATATTATTTCTCTATGGCGGTCTAAATTTATATCAGTTATTTTCCTTAGATAATTATTGGTTTGATAGTGGTTTGATGACATTGTTTTCACAGAGTATACAAAATACACTGAAATTAAAGGTATGTTTGGGGGAATAAAAAAATGTGCTGATAATCTCGATCAATGTTCTAAATCAAACAGATAAAATAACCATCGAAAATGAAACAGCAAGAAATATTGAGACAGTTTTCAGTTACCGACAACGCGCGCATCAGAGTTAAATTTGTTAGCCTTGAAATCTTGCATCTCCAAATTTTAATTTTGCCTCGAAGTCTAAAAGAATAGCAGCTCTCATTTTTCAAAAATAAATATATTATCCTTTATCTAGTTTTACCATTGAAATATTCAGGAAACGGTTATATTTCAAAGCCAGAATAAGCTACAGSATATAGGGATTTTTTTCTTTTGCTAATTAGGGGATTCCCCCTCGACCGCAACAAGACAAATACAAACTAAGTTGACGTGTCAGTACAAGTCTAAGAACTGCAGCGTAAAAATGAATCTAGGTAAAATGCTTCATTATTCTTTCAAATGTTATTTTAATGTGCTTTGGTATTATTCATTGTCACATACGAAATAAAGGCTTTATCTCCACCAAGCTTTTTTCCCGTTTGGGGGGATTTAGTGGACAGAGTATCGCATGACAGCAGCATTCCGGGAACTCGGTCCTGAATTTAAACTGATTTCTGTTATTTAGATGGCATTATGGTTTATACGATCTAAAGTCGTCAGCTTCAGACCGAACAATGAGCGACTTGGTGGACGAACAGGACCTGCAACGCATCGAAGAACTTCTCAAAAGAAAAGCTGAGCTTGAAGAACAGAACAGTAACCTTTCTTCAAGGTTACAAGATGGCGAAAAGATTAAGAACGAACTGAAAGAAGCAAGGAGAGACAGTCAAAAACTGCTTCATCATCGTGAAAAACTGAAAAACCAGGCAAGCAAGCATCTTAAAGGACTAAATGGTGCTGAATTAGTGAACCCCAGCGAAGTAAGAACATTTATTGATTACTAAGTAAAATTTCTATGACATTGTTGCATAGTTATTTACCTAAAGATTTTAGGAAAAATTTTGTCAAATAATGCAGTACTATGCTTTTATTGATTGAAGCATGGACTACATTACTATTTGCATGAATCTAGGATTGGTTGTGTTCATTACGTACGTATGTGTAGTTGTTATACTGAAGTCCAATATGTAGGTTTATAAGAACAATATATTTATCAGTGAGTGACATGAACATGAGGTGTTCACGTGGCATACCATCCCAATGATTCACGGTTAAAAGAACATTACAAGAATCGCTAGAAGCACTGTTAAAGTTAAAGATGGATAAAATATGCACAAACAGCAAGACTGTTTCCTGAAACCTAGCCAAAGCTGTCATCAGGTGTAACGCTGCTGACGGCTGTGCTGGAGATTTCGTCCCCGCGACACCCGTAATGACTTCACGGGTTGCAGCCTAACAAACAAAAAACCCCGAGTAAAACGCTTCTATAAGACCAATGTGTTAGACAGCTGCTTTTTGACTGTTTTTATATGTACCAATCCATACGAATAGGTTGAAAACTGCAGTGACGAGTAAAGCCGTTTTAATACGTTAAAAGATGGGGGCAGGGCCTATAAGTTTCGATCCTTGTGAAAATCTGATCTGTCTTGTTCGTAACTAAGCATTCGGCAATTGCACGTACACAATCTGCGCAATCATAAACCAATTCTCTCAATAATTACGTCTGCTCGTAGTATACACCAGTATACAGGCTATTCTCTTGAGTGACTTGCATTTGATTACTAGTTTAGCATCAACGCGGAAGTGTTAATTCAAGTTAGTACGTTTCCGCAAACTGTAAATACCACAAAAAATTCCCATCTCGTAGTTTTCATCTGATTCTATTTTCTTTTAATAGAGATTTAGTGTCAATAATAGACAACATAGAACATTTATAAAGGGTTTCTTCATTTGTTATTATTAGGTATTCCCAAGTATATCTTTGAAACAATGCTCTCGGAGACTGCCTTGTCTCTTGAAACGTGGCATTCAAAATGAACGAAGTCGGCTTTTAGTCATGTCTTTCAAATATGAATAGAAAAAGCGAGCTCTTTTTATTTAGACCATGACAACAAAAAGTGCGATATACTATGCAAGGTAACCTTAAAGAAACTCTGATAGGCATAGCGCTTAATTTATGATTTCCATATTAGCCTAAAAGAGTTATCAACAACGAAGATCGCGACAAAGAAGAAAAGTTGCCAAATCCACAGAACAGAAAAGAAGAGATTATGGAAAATGATCCAGTGCAACTGCGAAGACAACTGAATGCATTACGATTAGAAAATGCTTCACTCATCAAAGAAAAAAGAAAGACGGAAGAACATAATTCAAGCCTTGTACAAGAACTTGCTGATTTGGGCTTAAAACACGAGACCCTTCAAGAAATTTGCGATAGGTAGAGAAATGTGTTTTATTGCTAAATTTAGCCCGATGGGATCTTCCCGCGAATATATATTTCCGGGAAAATCAGTCAATGCGCGCGCGCGTGATAAATTTTCTATGAGCGCGCAATGAATTAATAACGCCATCTTGAATTTTTAAGAATTTACCTAAATTTATGGGATGTCCTGGAGGTAAAGCACATATTGCTATTTTAAATGGTTTAAAATGCGTCCGAAAAATTACTATTTTTGATAATATCGTGCCTCGCAATTTGAATTAAGCAAACATCCAAATGTGTTATGTTTTTAGGTGTTTTCACATGTTGTTTATGGAATTGAATCTCATGGACTCATTTGTTCTCAATGCTGTGTAGTCTACTCTGTTTCTTGTTTATATTCACCCCGGGCATCCCAAAGTTTTTACTAATGAAAACATAAACATGAAACTAAATATTCCGCGGGCCGTTTTGGTAATAAGGTCTATTCCTATACATAAACAAACAACCAGAGATARATCATATGTTATTTGATCTTAATCATTCGCCTGTTTTCCCGCTAATACCTTTTGTGTTGATTCATTAATTCTTGTTCTATTTTTTTAGACTTAAAAAGGAAATTGCACGTCTAAGCGCATGTGTTGCCGCCGGAAAGTCATCCTCAGCGGGGAATCATTCAACTGGAAAGGAAGACAACATTGAAATAATGAAAGATCAGGTATTGGTCTCATAGCTTCTGTCAATCCTCTCTATAAAACCACTCGTTCTAAGTCTGGGCCGTCCATATATAGCTACCCGCACTAGAAACCTCGTTGACACCCCATATTAACTTGCGTCACTACCGGACGTTTCAATTTGCTTCCTATACCCATACGCCACCACACCTGTATTTAAAAATAGCAAGCCATCTGATGGATTTTGTGTTTATTGACGTAAATTGTTTTTATATAGCTTCGTATTTATCAAGAAGACATCAATGGAATGCAAGCACAAATTGAAATCTCTCAACAGTCCAACGAACGACTTCGYGCTGAGCTGAACGAAGCGCGCGCCGTCATCCGGGACCTGAGACAACTACCAGCCTTTGAGGTAAGTTAAAAAGTATCAAACGTATCTATTATTGTCGTAGAGCATGAAGTGATATGACTGATTTCTGTAAATTTTAACAGGTTTATGCAGCACCAGTATATCAGCTTGGACGATACAAGACATTTGATGACAGATATGGATATGATCCTCGTGAATACCGCCACACGGTCAGACCTGCCTCAGGAGGCTATGATCGAAATCGTGAGGTTAGTTACTATTTTACCAGGGGAGCGCACGCATTCACAAAATGATCCTTTGAGACCACTTTTACAAGTGCCTAATCGATTTTATATGATTGGCAATGATTAAGGAAATATTCAGCAAGAACTATCAGAAGTAAGTAATTGTGCAAAATTTTGAAGATATAGAGCAAATACTAACGAAGTTATGGAGGAATGAAAATACAAGGATTTGTATGAAATTCTTTGCTGAGGCCTCGGTGGCCTCGCTTTGGTGTTTTTTTTTTTTTTTTTTTTGTGCATCTTCCAACACTAATAACTTCCAGAGGATTTAATATTTTTCTTTGAAACTTATAGAGCTTATCTTTAGCTTTGATATCTATCGTCTGAGTGTTTTCTTTTGTCAACATTATGAATTTAACAATAATATGCTAATTAGTGTTGGCCATTGTGAAAGTCGTGTATGCTTTTGCTAAGTGAATCATGGTTTGTGATAAAATTAAGACGATGGGTGTCTTGACGAAGTTACTCTTTGAATAATTGTGGCGCTTTCATTGCAACACACATTGAACAAGATGGCTGCACAATAGAATCTCTAGAGTATCCTCTATTTTGAGAAACAGGTCATGACTATTGTTCACCCAAACTGGTTATTACCAACGTAATCGCTTCAGGGAGCAAAATATCTGAAGACATATAGATATATGTATACTTCAGAAAAGTGTGTGCAAGCGTTACGACGTTTCMTGAAGTTAAGAGCTCCCAGTTCACGCCTCGGTTGAGTGCAATTGACGCAAATTAAACGTATTATCTTTGTATCAACAGCGAGACTATCGCCGTGTTCGTTCTGCAGACAAGAAGGTCTTCATGCCAGACTTAACAGCCGTGATTGATAAAGAAGTCAAAGACGGCTCGCTGATGTCWTCTAAAAGCTTCTAGTTTATACACCAAGYGAGCTCCCACAACTCTCTCGWTCACTCAGAAAGTTGGCTTTTTAAAGCTAAAGGATTCGAACCACTGGTACAAATTCCACTTTAAGTTCACGTGTGAGTGCAAAGTTGTTACCACACCTTGTATTTTCCTATATTCATGGTGCATATTAGTGTAATCATTGTTTTCCAAATACTGAAGTCGAGCCTAGAGGCTAGTATTCTTTCGCAGTTTATACTTTTGTAAGGCTTCCTGTCCCTCCCAAAAGAATAGGCTGCTTACTCGAGCATAGACTAGGCAATGTGCAGCGACGCCATTTTGTGCAGCAAAGCATGATGGGATTTGTGAGTCGACGTACTCCTTCTTTTGAAATGCTTTTGCTTTAAAAGCGTAAAAAAGGCTTTTAAGGAGATATTTTYGAGGACTACAACTACCATCATGCTTTGCTGCACAAACTGGAGTTGCGCTGCACATGACCATTCCATAGTCTCCTTCGCAGCCTACCCTTGTCGGGCTTCCTGTTCCGATAGGAAGATTGACATTGACAAAGAAATTTTATTCGAAAGGAGACTACTTAGAGGCTGGCTACTTTTGAGTTTACAACCTTTTTGTGAGTTGTTTTGCGCATGTGTGCTTTACATTTGCAGTCTTAACTGTTAACGGAATAGCATAGCATTTATAGTTTACAATAATGTTTAAACGAAGTCTGACGACAATACTCGTTGTAAAACAAGAAATTAATCAACAAGGTATTAAACCAAAGTCTTATGTAACTGGGCGTTAGGGCATAGGTTTTACTTATGAAGCTATCAACTAAACACGTTTGAAAGCGATSAACTTTGTAACTTTTGAGTCAATCAAGCGCTCAGTGGTGTCTTTCACTGCCGTTGATAGGCGGTAATCATCTTAGAAGARACCAGCTAAAACTTTTGATCAAGGCCCTATGAACTATAAGATACTTGGTAATTATAGTCCCTAAAAAGGCCTTACTACTAATTATATGAAAAAAAAATATTTGTAAAAAATAGCTATAGTGTATAAGTTAATTTATCTATCAATTAATCGCACTCGCAAATATAAATAAAAAGCACATGACATTTTATATTTCTAATATTTTTGTTCTGCATGCTCGCAAATTCTTTTTTTATAATACGCATGCTGATTGGCTGTTTATAGTATGTCACTAACGGAATTTCACACTGTGCATGTCTTTGGAAGCGCGCTCAGTTAGAAAAGAGGAGCCTTTGCAAATTTTGTACAAAATCAAATGTTTTTTTGGCAGTACATTCTCTAACTGACACACAGTCAACGCCATGAAATGCTCAAACCTCAAGAGTGCCAACAATCACAGCACTAGTATAACGGTATAATGGTAACGATGATCGTGTTTACCAGTCTTCCTCGGTTTAGAATGTGTATACGAGAGCAGGAGAATGGCAGGATTTTCAATAAATCATTACTCAATTTCATAAAACAAAAACTAGCTGTCACTTCTGGACTCTTTTTATAGCGAAACTCTTATCAACTTGTCAACCACTCCAGCATCCGGCACGCGCGTAATAATTTWTAGAAGGCTATTGACTTTACTTTCGGCGCTCTATAGCTTAGACGTGAAGCAAGTCTTGTCACGAGTGAACATACAAAATGAGAATAGGTTCCTTTCGGCTTGCAAGTACTGAACAAAGAGACTAAATTCTATAGCGCCTGGTTMACCGCAACCCTCAGGCCGGTTATTGTTTGATTATGAAAATTCCGTGCGCTGTTTCATCGCGTGTACTGTACCTGGTATGAAAGGTAGTGAAATATTAACGTGTAGCTGATAACTTATAAGGTGAAATGTTACTGTTTTAATCAAGTTGAATTGCCTAAATACTAACTCCTCGATGTTTTGCTAAACTTTCCCCTAGACGGCGGCAGCCAACGTCAGTAATTTTCTTATCTGTATTGCAGTGCGTCATTATGAAGTGCAGTCAAATGGTCTCTGTCTTGGTTACCGGAATCAGACTTTATTTTTCTATGGTTCTAAATGAGTTTATCTTCTCTAGTTGATCTTTCATGATTTAATGAAACTCTCGAAATGGCGGCGACTTGAAATGAGTAAATTATCACTTCAAGATATATATCAATCTTCAGAGTGCATTTTTTGTTTTTGTATAAAGTAAAAATATAGAACAAACTTGATTTTGCCTGAAAGAGCTTTCACTCACTTCAACTTTAAGCAAATGTTAAAATACCCGTAAAGCATTTCCTGAGGGATTTTAACAGGAAAGGTTTATAAAACTTTTTTCATTAAGCAAAAGTTTCAGGTGAAATRCATCGGCACTGTTCACTTCCTATCATGCGTTCGTCATTTCCTGAACTTACAAGAGGCGCACGCGCGGCTTTTTCCCGCCATTTGTAAATAAACCAACAAATTTCGCATTCAATTCTTTCAACAGTTTCCTCCAAAACGGATATCAATTTAAAAGAAAGCATTGGTTTTTGTGTTTTATATCAATAGTTGATACGTTTTAATTAATAAGTTTACCACAAAATGCTCGGAGGTATCGCGGTAATTTTTCGGGCTTCTTTCATATTGTCCTCGTGCAGCTTCAAGAATATTCGTCAAGACTGATTAACCATAGACCTAAATATWAAAAAAACTTCTAGAAAATAAAGAGCAAATGAATGCAGCTAACAGTTTTAGACTCTCTTCAAAGTAAAGTAAATGCAAGCCTGATTGAGAGGAAAAGACGAGTTCGATGTACTTTGTAAGATATAAAGCTGATATATTAGCAACTATCACTTGAACAAACAACTATTAATTCCACAAAACCAACAACGTTTAATTAAAACCTTCCTGGTATCTACTTTGTTCGCCCTGTCTAGTTTTACTTGAAGCACATGCTCTGTAGTGGAGTGCACTCATTTACTGAACAAGTCTCAATTTCAGTCAAGAGTACTTGAGCGATAATAGGATAAGCCGGATAATGACAATCAATAGCCTAAGTGGTGTTTTTATCAAAATGTGCCAAGGATTTGTGAATCAGACAATTTGACTCCGTTGTTAAATGGACGATCGATGAATCGTGCCCTATTATTATCATTAAACAATGGTAAAATATGATTCGGGTTTTGCCTTTGATTCCCGAGCAGATATTCCTGTCGGTTTACTAATGAAAATAGCCCCTCCATAATTATCAAAACTGCAGTAAATGAAATGGCATTGTTCGGCTCGTACACGTGTAATACGCGATGGTCTTCAAGGCGCCAACAGAAAACACTTATGATAGAGGGCCGGGATTAACCATTGTCATGTACAACGCTCCAAGGCTGATTTAGATTACAGAAGATTCTCAAAAATAACAAGTTCAAATCGTTCCATCACTAGATTTTGAAATATTCAAGAAGAAACCTATAACCCAAAGGCTTGAMCTTGCCAGAAGAGACACGGTTAACGTCAACTACCCACTCGAGGGGAGTGAAGTAAGTAATTGAATTGATGATTTTTGAACTGCAATTGGCTATATGGAAGTTGCCTAACAGCTGCGGGTACATCATGGCAGTCTCACTGACGCTACCACTCTTCATATCTGACTAAACTTTATCCCTTCATTAGGCTTATGACAATAGAGTCCCAACCAGTTCGACAAGTCGTCACTGACTGACCAAAACCTATAAATTAAGTGAATACTTGTACGGATATCCAGAAAGACTTAACACTTCGACAGAACAAGATAAGAGTTGGAATTTGTTACAAAACTCAAACACTTCCTGGATAAAAAGCAAAGCACATTTATCTTTAAAGGTAAGGTTATGGTAACTGTATATCAATAATTTTTTTACCATGGAAAAGATTTCAGTTTTGTAACTCGTGAAAAAAAAGAAAGAAATTGCGCAGACAAACACTAAAAATAACGGCTAAACTCTTAGTGATATTTTTACTCTGACGTTCTACTGTCTAATAATGACAGATTTGCTCTTTTCGCTAGGTGATTGTGTTTATCTTTATTGCGCTAAAACCTTGCATGTTCACTTACTGTCGGTAAAGCAACTTATACATCGACACAAGGGTCATGCAGCTCACAAAGGTTTTTAATACTATAAGTTGAATAACTTCTGATGACAAGTTTACTCACTTTTGAAAAGCAATCAATGAAGATATTTTTACATTTGTAATCAATGAAGATATTTTTACATTTGTCAAGGATTTTTTCTTTATTATCTTGTAATGAGTTTTGACTTTTTGTGAAATCACCCATCGGTTTTACTAATCGTCACTTTTCTCACTGAAGAAGTGTTGTCAGTTTTATGAAGTGCCCGCGCGTAGGACTTCTGTAAAGACACTCGCGGTTAATCAAGTGGCTGGCATCTTATTGAAAACACAAAATCCCAGTCAGTATAGGTACTCAACGAGGGAGGGACTCAATTCAAGCCAAGACTTAAAATCAACTTGGTAGCAGTTTAACTTAGTAAGAAATGGATATAAACACTAGTCTTGTTAAGTTTCAGAAGTTTTGAGACAAAAGCGAAAAGGTGACCATTCGATTCAAGTTATATATTTTCACGAATTGACGATTTTAAGTTATGTTTGTATTATTTCATGATTAAACTCAGTTCGCAACTAAACTTCCAAGTACTTACACAAATCGTACATGTAACATTTTGTGATGAAAGTTAATCAGTGTTTTTTAAGYTTGTTGAAAAACGTTTTCAAACTTCGCTGGTTTTATTCAATTTGCAGTAGATAATCCTAATGTCCTAGTCATACTAAGCCGACGATATATAATAATTACAGTGTACTAAACCACGAGTATTAACTATAGATTTGAAACGACCATCGCGTGATACTGGAAGCCTCGTTTATTTGCGCTATCAGGCTCTGCCATCAATGGCGTTAAAACGCGAACCCATATCCAAAACTATCAACTAAACCAACAGCACCTTTCCTAAATACGATAACTTCCGAGTACAGCTTGTTATTTCGATTAAAATAGCCAGGAATATCACTATTAGGTACCTTAAAGTCTGAACTACAGACGATAACAGTTGCCCTTTTACGAAATGTTATCGGTAAAGAATGGTTAATTATTGTTTGTGAATTCTGTTCTGGTAAAATCACCACCAAAACGTTACATCCATTGACGAAACGTGCTTCAACAATGAAATATTGACAAACATTTTAAGTTGGCTAAAGTTGTTATCTTGACGACTATCTAACGCTATGACGATTACATGAATAATCCGCTTGAGCGACTGATCGTTAGCAGTTTATTTTCGCCTCATCCACTGCAATGCCAAGGTGTCTTTAACCTCGTAGCAGATACCATCTTGACCACACGCGCGTTGTGGAACCTCCTTTTTCCTAAAGTATTTGAGCAACATTTTTGTCGATGTTTTATGATTCGTTCCGATGACTCGGAGCCGTTTTGGCGTTGATAGGCGCCAGTTCGGTAATCGTGCCATTTTCAATAAAGTCTGTTCAAACAATACGTAAATTTTTAATGAGTTGTTTATCATCTTAATGATTGATTGAAGACTTAGTCATAACTAAACAGGAGCCTGTATGGCGCAGTAACTGAAGGCATTTTACGCTTGAGAAGCTGTTTTGAATAGGTCTTGAGCTTAAGCACGGCCCCTTTGGCAGGTGTGGCGTGTGACCTTGCAGTATCGCTTGACGAAACGCGGCCACTCAAACGCACAAACTACTCTACCAAGCATTCTTGTCCATTACATTTTCACCACAATATTAAAGATTTATTCAGTTGTCATTGTAATAACGAAATATCAGGTTTTTTATGACCTGAGTCATTATCCCGCTAGAGGATCGAAGACACAAGTAGTATGCATTAAATTTCATCTATTAAGGGGTTTTACCGTCACAGTGACGTGTATAGAACTCAGTGAAGTACAACAAAGTCATGAAATTCAATCTAAAATTTTCAATACAGATTTCACTACACAACAACTTCTTTCAAAAGGCGTCATTGCATTTTCAAAGAAGATTAGGCAACATGGATCGATATTTCATGTGTACTCAGACTAATTGATGTCTTACATCAAAGTAGGATTTGTACATATAGAYAATCATAGCAACGCAAGACTTTCTATTTCTTTTTGACGAA